GATTTCCGGGTTCAATACGTTCGGACCGTTGGATCATAGCCAAATTGGAGTATGTTGATCTAGGTATTTTAAGGATCGTGTAAGATTCGATGGATCGTAAATCGGAGTCCTGGATGCTCCAAAAAAGCCAACCCGGGCTAGGTTTACGGGAAATCGTTCGTGAGTCCGATCGTGCGATCGTGAGCAATCCGATCGTCCGATTGAGACCAAACTTTCAGGACATGTGTCCTAGGCTTATTGGAACCTCAAGGAATGATCGGATCGGAATTCTGAGGTCGTGGACCTCACAGGGTCCCGAGTTGACTTTTTGGGACTTTATCGCTTTTGAGTCCCTAGGTACTTTTAAATCGTGCCCAATGAGAGAAAAGCTAATGTGGGCATAGGAATGATCTTTAAGTTGGGCCCATGGTTTTTAATTTAATATTATATTACTGAGCAGAGTTTTTAATAAAATATTATAATGGTTATACAGGCACCCGGGCACCAGGTGACCCGCAGGAGGGACCTTCAAAAGGTCCAGCTAGCTCAGAGTATCTGTGAGTGGACTTTTTGTTTTATGAATGATTATGCTAATTAATTTCATTAATTGATCTTGAATAAGTTTTATTCAAATATTAGAGTTGCATAATTATTATATACTTTTAAGTATTTCCATTTATATGCTGCTGGGGGGGATATCCTTAAGGGATATAGGAAAAAGGAAAATCTAATTAAATATCAGGTTTAATGGCAGCAAAGTTTTAAGTAAACATGAATTTGTTTATTCACTAATCTTTTCAGAATTTTATATATTTTTAGAAACCACCATAGGTACCCAAGATTAAATATGTTACCTTCGGATTTTAAAGATTGCCTTTGGTTATAATGATGTCTACAGACATCCAGTTGTCTTCAGATATGTCAACATGCTTGACTTACGCTCTGCGAGTCCTAAGAGGTACCAGGGACCGTGGGAGGGAGGTATGCGGATCAAGCCGACCGAGTGTCCCGAGGACTGCTAGGACGTGTCTCTCCGGTGGCACGAGGATGGAATTGACGGAAACTAAAGGAATTGACGGAAATTAAAGGAATTGACAGATTATAAGGAATTGACGGAATAATAAATGGGTACACCTAGGTGGTAGATTTAAAGTTGATTTCAATGTTTTCGAAGACTTAATGTTTGATGAAGTATAAGATTGATATATATATATATATAAATATGATTGCATTGATTTCAGTACGATTATAAATAAGGAAATGTTATAGTTTTATAACAGTTTTTACAGTGGGGTTAGTATGTTCTTATGCTATTTTCTAAACTTTATTTTTTGGTCCACTCACCCTTTTAATGTTTTGCGCCCCCAGGCAGTAGTCGTGCGTCAGTGCGCCACCACCGGGCCGAGACCACCTTCCGCCATGTTGTTTACCAATGTAGGGTCTTGGAAGTTGTGTTTTATTTGTAACCTACTCTGTATAGATGCTCTGATATTGCCCTAGAACACTTGTCGAATTGTTAGCATGTATTTATTTGTATGCTGGAAGTTGGTGTATATTTTCATATGCATGTTTGACATGTGTAATTTTGGGGTTTGGTCTAATTTTAGGGAAGTCTCTGCTGAATTTTCGACAGAAGTCAAACCCTAGTTTAAAGTGAATTTTGACTAGAAGGGCAATTAGGTCATTTGTGCCCAGCACTTGCTAGGAGTCGGACACGCACAGGGTTTGGCTCGGATTCCAAAGTGGAATTGGGTCCTGTCACTTTTATCCTTGCTTCGATACTTACTTAAATATGATTCTAAAAATTACCATTTGCCCCTGACGTATTCTTGATCGTATTTTCTTCAATATGACTTGGAATTGAGCCCATTACGTGTCTACGAACTCATTTCGTCGTGCTCTACACAACGGTACAAGCGAAATTTCCAAATTCCTTCCCAGTCTAAAAGTCAACTTTAAACCGAATAAAATATTCTAGGGGTATAATTGTCTTTTACATAAGGAGTGTCGAAAGATCATCCCGTGACATAAGTTGAGTGACGAAGAAGTCAATAAACATTATCTAGAATATGTCTTGTAATCATCGTTCTATATTGGATTTGTATTGGACTGAGGAGTCCTGTGAACTTTACCCAGAAATGGGGTTTAACCACGTAAAATAATTCTCTGTGTGTTCCTTTATTTTATACTTAGCATGTTTCAAGATTGATAAGCCATATCAATCATACTACCGAAGTTTATTTTTATTTTTTAATTATATTTTTTAATTGGCCTATTCACCCCCTTTACCCATTTTTAGTCATCCTACAAGTAATTTCATTGACTCTTTAATTTAACTAAGAGCCAAACCAAACTGTCTCCGATAAAGATTCATGCATATAGCAAGCAAACGCGAGAGCAGTCTCCAACAGAACAGTTTAATTTTTGGTTGCGTAACCAGCCTCCACAATTATTTCCACACCACAGGGCTAATGATATGAGAAGAGTGGGCACCCCACTCTAGACAAAGCAGGATTTAAAGCATGAGTTCTGTAACACTCCAAGGCCACACAATACGATTAGGGTTATAAATATTTCCAATTGGGATACTCCTAATTGCTTTCATTGTTTCTCGATCAAGGATCAAACTTACATTTTGGAGATTCCATTGATGAAGTTTTTTGTCCATAATGTCAGACACCAATAATGGAAAGTTGGGAGGGACAGATAGAGTAGGATTTATGACCCCTCTATGAGGAAATGGAAGCCATTTATCCATCCAAATATTTGTATTTTCACCACTTAGGATCTGAACCCTAGTATGACTTAACACCTCATCTCCACCAGCAATGAGACTCGAACAAATCAACGAGGATCAATGCCCCACCTTTTCTTTCCAAAAGTCCACCTCCGAGAAATATAGCAACCTTAAAGAACTTGTGCCCAAAGGGAGTACGGATTCTGAATTAAGCACCATCATTGCTTGCCTAGCAAGGCTAGGTTGAAATCCGATAAGTCACGAAAACCCAAACCTCCTTCCATCTTACTTTTACTCAAAACATGCCAGGACTTCCAATGCATACCAGAATCCTTATCTTGATTAGCCCACCAAAATCTCGCAATGTCACCATTAATTTCTTTGCACAAACATGCAGGAAATTTGAAACACATCATCGAGTAAGTAGGAATTGCCATGGCCACAGCTTTGATAAGGACTTCTTTCCATGCCAAGGATAGAGAGCTAGATTTCCATCCTTGCACTTTGTTTTTCATTCTTTCCTTGATATATCCAAGAGCCAATTTTTTTGATCTTCTCCATATAGTAGGAAGGCCTAGATAGACCTTGGGTCGTCAACACCTTCAATATAAAAAACAGAACATATACAAGTTTGCCACAACTGAAATAAATGTAGGATTTGTCGAAATTAATCTCTTGCCCCGCAGCATGACAATAATCTTGAAGGAGCTTCTTTAGTTGTAGACAATTTGATTGCTCCACCCTGAAGAAAAGATAGGGCGTCATCTACAAAAAACAAGTGAGACAAAATTGGCCCACTTCGACACAACTTGATCTCTTTAATAACCCCATCATTAACGAGTTTTCTTAGGTTCTCGGTCAAGGCTTCACAAATGATTAAAAACAGATACGAAGATAAGGTGTATCCTTGTCTAAGACCACAAGAAGGAGAGAAAGAAGTACCTAGCTTGCCATTCAATAGGATAGAGAAAGAGACAGATGATATACATGCCATCACCAGCCGAATCCAGAAATTATTGAATCCTATGTTTGCCATTACAACTCTCAAAAAGTCCCATTCGACTCTGTCATAAGCCTTATTCATGTCCACCTTTAAGCACACTTCGTATTTCCTTCACTTCTGTTTCAGTCTCAGGTAATGAAGGGCTTCATGCGCAACCACAATATTATCTTGAATATGTTTTCCTTGAACAAAAGCATTTTGGGTACTAGAAATGACTGAAGGCCTGTTTCAGACGATTGGCCAGAATCTTAGATAATATCTTATAGGAATTAAAGCAGATGCTTATAAGTATGAACTGGTTGGAATACTCAAGACCTGCCACTTTGGGTATAAGAGCAACAAAAGTTTTAGGGTTTTGTGTAGTTTTGCCTCCAGAACTATTTGCATATTGTCAATTTAGCCCCTTAAAAAAAATTCGGTAAATTCAGGACTCCAATTGTTTAAAAATCATCAATTGAAGGCCCACCGTCAATTTTTTCAATTTCCATCCAAATTAAGGGTAAATTCGTAATTTTAAAAAAAAAGAGAAAATAAAAACCTTACCTACCTAAAATTAAAAAACCTTTAAAATTTAAGGAAAATAAATATTTAACATTTTAATTTTTAATTTTTTTTACATTAAAAAAAAAGATTAAAGAAACTCATGGGCTAATTTGCCGAAAAAATTGTTAAGGGGCTAAATTGACAATATGTAAATAGTTCAGGGGGCAAAACCGAAGAAAACCCAAAGTTTTATTAAACTCCTTGAGTTGAGTTCAACCATTAAACCAATCCGCAGTTGCCAAATTCACAATATCCTTCAATTCTTGCCAATATTTGTGATAAAATAGACTGGGAACCCATCTAGACCAGGAGATTTGAGGGAGCCTAATTGATGGGCAATAATAGATATTTCCTCCTCAGAGAAAGGAGCCCCCAGAAGAGCATTCATATCAGTATTGATTGTCTTAGGGATACAATCCAAAATATTCCCCCAACTCCGATTACCAACATACATGAACAATCGAGAATAATAATTTCTAAATTCAGCTCCAATTAAACTTTCACTAGAAAGCCAAATACCTCTCTCGTTTTTTAGACTCACAACTCTGTTTTGCTGTCTTCGTTGAATAGTAGAGAGGTGAAAGAAGTGAGTGTTTTTGTCCCCTATACCGAGCCAATTAACATGTGATCTTTGACACTAGTATATCTCCTCTTCCTTCCATAAAGTATCAAGATCGGCTTTTAACAACTCTTGTTGTCGCATTGTGTTGTCGGAGGCCTCAAACATTTGATTCATCTCTAGCTCCTTCAGTCGGGCTTGGATCTTAAATTTATAATTTTCTCCCTTGTCGCGACTCCATTGAATCAACTTCTTTTTACAAATCGTAAGCTTATGGTGCCATTTCGTAACTCCCAATCCTTCAAAAGGTTCATTCCAGCACCTATTAATAATCTCCTTACAATTTGGATCACCCACCCAACTAGCCTCAAAGCACAAGACTTTTTTCCTTTTACTGGTGTTTCCCTCTTTTCGGCCGGGTAGGCCGACGGAAGGAGTTTTTGGTCCTTCTTCTCTTGAGATGCGTAGGCGTGCCACCACCAAGCCACTTGATGGCTTGGATGGAAAGATTGTGTGAGTGTGTTTGCGCTTCTGACTTCTTAATCAAACGATTGATCGACCAAGCAAGGAACCTCCTCTTGGCCTAGGTTCTTTTTCTTCCTTGAGGTCAAGGATGATTGAGCTTTCTATGACTATTTTTAGGATTTTTGTGATAAGTGCAATGAATGTAAATGCAGTAAACGA